TGCTTATTTATTATGCCTATATAAAGACCTACCAAGTACATAATTATTTTAATTTTAGTCCATAGGAAATTTTATCATTATTCATAACAACTTGAGTTTTATAAACGTTGTTTTGATATCCACTATTTCGTCAATTATACACAAATTAACAAATGCAAAATAATACAAATGACGCATTTCTGCTTTCTTTTAGACTTCACTTCAAATATTAAATATTTTCCTTTAACATGGGTTTTCCCCGAGGTTGAGTATTGAGTCATATGTTACTTCATATGATGTGTTCGTTAATCATCGTTTTATTATCCATTCATGATGTTCCATTTTCTCATTCACAAAGCTGTTAAGCATTCATTTTTATTTTAAGATAAAATAATTTTTTGAGATATTTTGAGAATATCTGAGAAATACGGGTAAATTTTTCTTGTGTAGTCGCGAAATAAGCTTAGTTTTTTTACAGATACTTTACAATCAACATCAGTAGAATAACTGTCTAAATTTGAGCTTTTCGATCGATTGATTCGATTCGAATTGTTTTGGAGATAAAAGCTGTCAAAATACTGCTTTTCCTATAATGTTAATTGAGTTGTTTTCATTGTTTATAATATGATATCACAACGCAAGAATCCCCCTTTACTACTGTTGAGATGAATTATGTATTTTTGCAGGATCTAGCTTTATGATATTTTTTTTCCATCGCTTGTCTAACAAAATCACGAGCTTATAGAATATTTTGTGGGGACGCATTTTTTGTCACATGGATCATATCCACAGCAAATTGTTGGTTTTTACTCTTGTTTAGAAAATTATGTTTATTTAAAGTTATCCAGATTCGATCACAACAGAATGTGTAAAAACCTGCAAATCTCTGGATGCTCTGAATCAATAACAATATCTTTATATTAAGGTGCAGGGAAGTCTTTAAATTTCGTAAGGAGTACAATTTAGTCTTGAGTGGTATGCTTGTATGCTTGGTATGTTCTTCATGAACTGTATAAATTTTAATTCTTTCGATCTTTTCAACATCTTTTCAATGTCTGGGTTAGCTCTTTCTAGCAAACCTTGTGAATGAGCGTGAAGTGGCTTCCCACGTACAAGTTTTGGTTCTTCCACATGTGATATCAATTATCAACATTATACTACGATATCATACTACATTTGCGAATTATCCGTCATTATCACTATGCAATATGCACGGGTGTCATCTAATAACACATCCAATACTGTTGTAATACTATCAAAGCTGCATAAACTTTGTGAGATAGTCTTAATGTAACATCATGAACCTAAAGTCATCCGATAGAAATTTAAGTTTCCAAAATAATATCAAAAATTACCTCTAAATAAGTATGTGTAATAAATTATCTGATGTTTTTCAGTCTCTACAATATCATACCTTCAAAATATTTGATAATTTTCAGATGTCTTTCAGACCGGTCTTTGTAATAAAATTTAAAGTTTAACCCTTTGGAAGTATTAATAATTACCAGTATTTATTGTTAGTTTTCAATTATTACAAAACCAAGCCACAAGCGGGATTAACTTATCCTAACCTCTATTTATATTGTCGGAAGAAAAAGGAAAGAAAGTTAGTTTGTAAGTTGGCAGTGTAATCAAGTCATAGTTAAATCAAGTCATCTCAATGTAATTTAGCACATAATGGGTCCCTGCGGCACCGCTATCGAAATGCTATCAAGCCAAAACACCCTGTGATATATTAATTGCAAATTATCGCAAAAACAGCTCTAGACAAGTATGCAGAATTGAGAGGAGTTCAATTAGTATCTAGAATAACCGAGAATCGTCTTGCAGCCCATAGTACTATTAAAGTGATTACTCTTAAAAAAATCGAGAGGTACGAGGGAAAAAGTTGAGCTGTTGATTCGACATCTATGACACAATAGAAGTCGAACAATCTATCAAGAACTAAAAGAATAATAAGAAAACTCTATACAACTGTAATACAGTGGTGAACAACTAACAAATTCTATGCATGCACTGATAATGAAAGTATTACTGCACGGAGGAAGAGGCAATCCCGGAGGACTGGGAAAAAAGTGTTATTACTCTATCTATAAAAAGTAAGATATACATATCATTAAACATTGGCTACAACCTCTGGCCAAAAATACAATTGATGAATTTCAAACGGGATATGACATTGTAACATATGTAAAGTCTTCGTACATTTTAAACAAGCTTTTGACTCGATCGATAAATAAACTGTACCAGATACTGCTCGAACTAGGGATACCACATAAATTAGTCAAAATGATAAAAGCAACAATGGAAGATATTTCGAAAGACTAGAAACAAGTAGGCAGGTTGGTACCTGCCCTATTTAATCTCGCTCTGGAACACATAGCACGACATGTAGACATCGGAAAGGACCTGCCAACTAATAATATTCTACAACTGGATGCAGATGACATTAAAAAGGCAACCGCAATAACAAGGTTATTTAATCACGAACTGATTTTGGACAGCCAAATGTACAGGAAAAGACCAGTGGGGTTGGGTTGAGGGGGTAATCGATTGGGGGATACTAACCAATAATATTCTACAACTGAATGAATATGCAGATGAAATTAAAATCTAAAAAAGGACACCGTAATAACAAGGTTATTTAATCACGAACTGATCTTGGACAGCCGAATGTACAGGAAAAGACCAGTGGGGTTGGGTTGGGAGGGTAATCGATGGGAGGATGGAAAATTATACGCGATCTTCTGAGTATTCCAATATGGACGAGGGCGGTAGAAGATAGACAGGTGCGAAGGCAAACAAAATAAAGAAGGCTAACATCTAGTTTGGGCTAGTAAAATTTACAGAACAAAATAATGAGAGATATGGACACACCAAGACCTATGCGAGAATGTGACAAATTTGGGTTGCATCCTTCACACTTGAGTGTGGTTCATAAGTTTAAATTCAGAAATTTATCAAAAACAGAAAAGGCATGTTTTTATTGACTAACGGTTTTGGAGTAAACAAGATAAAGAGACGTAAATGCCTTTGAAATAACATCTAATAACTAACAAAACATTAGATTAAGTTTATGTTGTCATTCCTGTTTTAACACTGCAGAAGCCGAAATCAACGCTTATCTAAAAAGGTTTTTTCAAAAGTTATGCAAAGGATTTTACATTACAAGTATCATCATCAACGTCATCATTAAGATGAACAATTTCAATTACAAAGTTTACAAAGTAGTGCACATCAAGGTAGTTTAAATGACAAAGTAATAATTCAACTTCCGTTGAATATTTAAATTCTGCAACCTCTACCAAGATATATTCCTAATATATTTGAAAGGTAGGATACTCGATATTATGATTATCAAAATAAACATCTTTTTCTTAAAGATAAAAGAAACTACTTATTGTAACACTTAGTAGAAAACACTTATGTGTATCATTATCAATAAACATAAATGAGATTTATCAATGCAAAAACTCAACTAAAATCAAGATAATGATCACTTGCAGTAAGAGAATATATACATCTCAACACCACTGAGATAATAAGAGATAATAATAATTACATTGCTGTCATTGCAATGCATCATGTCAATCACCATTAAACAGTGATAAATAAAAACTTTAATACTGGCAAACCTAAAGTAGTCATAAATAGATGCTAAATAATGAGGTATTTTGCTTTGTTAATTTTTTTTATTTAGTTTTTTGATAGTTTTGATCTTAAATCATTTTGGTCATCAAAATTTTTTAGACTTGACTAATGTTCTCTAGTAAGTAACTCGTGACGATTAAATTATTGAAATCAGTGTTTTGTCTGAGTGAAGAACAAAGTCTACGACGCGACGGTTATTTAATCAGGTTATTTACACTTATTCCAATTATTTTTATTGATGTCTTTGGTATTTATAAATACACTATAAATAAAAATTTAAACTATAGGCACGTGCATTTTACGACTCCTACTCAAATCGTGGTGTTCACGTTTTACAAATACTATACATTTTAGCAAATTATTTTCATAATTATCTATTAATTTTTACATCGGTTGGTAACAAATAAAACAATCTTTTTAAAATTTGTTAACACTATTATTGAAACACTCTGTGTATTAGGATATGTATTTAAAATACGTTATCTAAGTTCTTAAATTGTTATGTCTAAAAAATTATGAGATTGTTAATTTGGATCATATATACTAAAAAATGTCAAAGCTTTAATATTCTTTAAAAATTGCTGCACGATTTGAAACCCGTTCGTCTTGAAGAATTTCATCTATTGGTATCACGTGGAATCCATCGATGGCACGTAGTGGAAGTTATAAAAATACCAACACGATTTATTTTTTCTTTAATAAATATATTATGTAAGATTTTGGTTTAAAACGAGTGGAATGTATGTAACAAGTTTTAATGTGTAATATTATATTACGTTGAAAGAATGAGGTATGTCCTTTGACTAAGAGACTAGTTCCACAGAAGCGTGCCTAGAATACTTTGTTGGGTATGGTTTCTAGTTTGGTGGAATCACAGCGGACTCGGGGTTTGAAAAGTTGAAATAGCTATCCCAATTATGCCGCAATGTCTATCCGGTGTTTCTCTGTTAGTAAAGGAACGTAACTTGCTCTTTGTACTTTCGGCTTTATATTTCTGAAAAAGATAAAGGTCTTCATCATGAATCCACAAGCTTACTTATTATTTTTCATCCATTTCAATGGTCATTTTTTATTATAAAAGATTATTAAAAAAAAAAATATTAATTTTAAAGTAAATGTTTGAGTGGATTTTGATATAAACCCACAAACCCTTTATTGTCATCATGATATGATGTTGAAATTAATTCAAAAAAATTCCTGAATTCAAATCGTATATCGCCTTCCGTAATCAACCTTCTTTAATTCAATTTTAAATAATTTAATTTCTTTTCAATCAATTTGCCACTAATTACTTTTACAGTCTTTTAAGCTCTATTTCAGTAAAATCAAATTTGTTGTATTTATCTATTCTAATAATATACCTTTTTAAGTTACAGATACAGATGATGTATATGCCCGTGTACTTGGTATGCGCGGCGCTAATAATCGCGGTAAAAGGTGAAGAACTTTCGTCATCATCGAATTATTATGGTGGTCAAATAGAACCTGTGGATTTGATAACCGAACAAGAAACAATGCGATTCTTATTTCCAAGACTTGCAAAGATCCGACCGACAAGAAACTGGGACGAACAATACTATAACATTCCAGACGTACAATCTAACAGCATCGAACAAGTAAGTACAAAAAGAACTTAAAACAAACTCTAACTAAATTCCTTTTGACACATCGCAACAAAATTGATTTTGTTTTTCGTTTCAGATTTCGTTATCGTCCGAAGGACGTTTCAAAAGGACCGAAGGATTGAAAGGAAAGCCATCGCTTTCGTTTGTAAACTCCTTGGACGTGTTACGTAACAGGCTTATGTTGGAGATCACGCGAAAAAAGGCGCAAGAAGGTGTTAACCGCAATCGAAATCTTTTATGTAAAATCGGCAAGAGATCTCCGTTGATCGATCAGGAAGGTTGCGAGGATGTTAACGATAAAATATTCCTACGTAAATATTAAAAAGAAAAAATAAGATAGAAAAAATTCGTGGACGTTCTCTTTCGCTCCTATTTCAGCTTTATCAAAGAAATAAATAAAAAAAAAACATAAAAAAATACAATGAGTAACGTATATTATAAATTACAAAAAAAAAATAAGATCTCTTCAAAAGAATCATGTAACATTCCTAAATAGTCTTAGAGGTAGCGGTTAGAAAAGAAACCGTACTTAAAAAAATAATTCCAGGTGTACTAGTCATTAGATTGTAATGTTTTGTTGAGCATATTTATTATTTGTTTTATTTTGGACAGTATTAGCTTTACGGCCTACGAAACAGTATTAATTCCTATTTAAAGCCGTGTCCACGAAGCTCTCTTCGTCTATTTATTCTTAAACATTACCAGATATAATAAAAAGAACATTTATTTTAATGAGACTAAAAAAGCACAAGACCAGCATCCTATTAAGTGGACATAACAACGATTAACTTATGTAATATACTACTTAGTGTCGAAATGTAATTTATATTATTCGTTAAATTTATCAGCTATTTAAATTTTTTTTTCTTACTGTATAATAAAAATGTACAAATAATAAGTGGAATTCAAAATATATCTTTGTTTTATTGTTTAATCATCCTTCAACAGATCAAAAAATGTATATATTATATATTCTTTATGATGTCATTTCATTCTTAAACGTTGATTTTATTACATTCAATGTATTTGGTGGAAGTGTAGCAAATTTTTTCGAAGAAGTTACTAAATTACATAAAACATGTAGTAAAGACCAAAATAATAAAGGATCTATTGCAAAAAGCTACAACATTTTTTATGATGAAATGGAAAATAAAAAAGCCATTACCACTCTTCATATAAACGTTTGATACAAATAAAATACAAATAACGTATAATAACGTTTGATACAAATAAAAGTTACAAAATCGCCGAAATCATGGGAATGATAGTGGAATTATCACCACTCAAATAATCAAAATGAAGCAAAGTGCATGGAGATCACTTTCCATGCTTTTCAAATGCGATGGAGATCTTCTCACCGAAAAATATGTAAAGGAGAACAACGTTCTCTTAAACTGCTAGATTTGTGGCAAAAGGCATACTGCTAATATAGATGCTACAAAATAGCAGTCGAACTTAGAAACTCAAAATAGGAAAAACAACAAGAATCCTCCCTATCCAACAACAAAAAACTAAAAGATCAAAATAGTAACTACACAGAAGGTCATCACAAGCAAACTTCTCAATCAGAAACAGTACAACGAGAACCAGATGCAAAGGGTTGCCAAAATGCAAGTGATACGATAGATATACATCAGATTATCTTAGAAAAACCATTATTATTAGACATGATAAGATTGAGACTACCAACACCAAAGGCATAAGCAAGAAAACTAATAGTCTTCGTAAATGACTTGGAATACAAATCCCACCCCAACCCTACGTGCTGCCTTAATAAACCATAAAATTGATGTATGTCTCGTTTCAAAGACGCACTACACATGGGAAAGCTGTTTGAAGCTACGAGACTACACTGTATATAACGCCATACATCTCAAAAATAGTGCAAAGGGATAGTTTAAAGTACTAATTCGCATTACAAAGATACAAAGATACAAAAAGACGAAGATCAGGTTTCATCAGTTAAAGTTATGGCTAAAAACAGCACATCGCACTAACCGCCACTTATTATCCTCTAAGGCGAAGCCCTCAAACAATCATAAGAAAGAAAGAAATCTCATCTTAATAACCTCGCTGACAAATTATGACATGTTTAAAACGTTCTTGCAACAAACTATAAACTTAAGAGTCTCACTGATGGCCTGATGGAATCGAAGTGGAAAAATTCAGTTGCAACTCAAAAATTCAAGAAACCGCTTCTTGAGTATTACACCAAAATTTACATAAAAAGACTCGAGTGGAAACTGTTAGCTACTCTCGTTAAGAGAGTTAATAAATAAATTAATAGTTCATAAATAACGGCAGATTAAGAGATCCGCTAGTAAACACTGAATTAAATAAAACAGCGGGACAATTAGTACCTATCTAAACATGCTAACGAATGATGCAAGCACTGATTATTTCTTATGAAAAAGCACTAAAAGTCTCTAGTGACCAAGAAAGCATATTCCTCAAATAGGAGTAGAAAATGAATCTTGAACAATAAACTCCTCACAAGAAGCTATTTATGGATTATCTAAAAAAACCTTTCAACCTAATTGGTCAATTTCAAACGCAAATATCCAAAACATGGCGTCGATTGTAAGCGAGTCAGAATGGATACCATTTGTATGACCAAAAAAAGTAAGCAAACATAACTAAAGTCCAAAGAAAGCACGAGATAAATTTGATATCGAGTGCTCTACTTAAACAACTACCCAGAAAAACGATGTGTCCTAGTCCTCTAGAAAATAGCAGAGTTAAGACTTAAATCAGGCAAATAAACGATGTTACTTCATGTCAAAGATATTTGACAAAATTAATGCTTAAACGATTAACACCAATGCTTGCGGAAAGAACCATCATTTCGACACATCACTTTGCTTTTCGAAGCGGTCACTCAACCATCCAACAAGTACATAGAGTCTCTAATATTGCTGAAAGGACTCTAGAAGAAAGGAAGTTGTGATCAGCAATATTCTTGGATATCGCGCAAACGGTCTATAAAGTTGAATGGCATGAAGAACTATTCCACAAACTCGCACTACTACTTCCTATGGAAAATAATTAGTTAATAATATTTATAATATCATATTTATAAGGGCGCTGCTTCAGAGTCAGACAAGAAGGTAGCTACTTTTCTCTTCGCCTTATAAAAGCTGAAGTATTTCTGGGCAGCGTACTTAGTTCAATTTTACCTGATATATACCCAGTGATATCTCTATACCGGACGAGGTCACCATGATAACTTTCGCCGATGACACCACTGTTTTGGTAGACAGTGAAATTATGGAGAAGTGACTGAAAAGTTACAGAATACTATAAACTAAATTGACAAATGTGCTAAAATCTAGCGAATAGAGATAAATGAAGGAAAATGTATCCACATTAAGTCACTTTATGTGGATAGATAAACAGACGATCCTGTGGATAGAATTATCGTGTCATATTCTGACACATATAAGGTCGTGAGATTTATGTCCAGTAGTAGACAAACATGTAAATACATGTAAAGCTATTTGACAATGATGATGATTCTGACACAGCTAAATACCTTTCCATTATGCAGGATTTGAAGCTTCGGTAGAAAACCACGTCCAGAAAAAGCAGGAGCAACTCAACCTTACATATTGTAAAATGTACTGGCTAAATACCTAGCCGCGGTTCAAAAACATATGTTAAAACAAGCTGCTCATATACAAGAAAAGTTTGATGAAGTAGACCTATGGTATTTAGATAGGTGGTACACTAAACAAAATAATATTGAGCCGGTTTGAAAGATCAGATCCTTCTGACCTAGTGAAGTGACTAAAAACCAAAGTTTTTATCTTTTTACCAAACCTATTTGAAGTGATAAAAGTAACAACCAAATAGACTAAAACTGACTGAACCAAAGGGTGACGATGTAGGATTTATGTAGATAATTTAGATTCAAATATAAAAAAAGCTTTAAAAAAATTTAAGCAATTCATTCTAAGTATGCCCAATAAATATGGAATTAAAGTATTTGCTCTGGCTAATGAAAAGACATACTTCGCTTGCTTACTATACGTAGATATAATTAATTAGAGCAAATTCATCAATACTGATAATACGACATAGAAATCGAATTCGAAAGAAACATCTGTAAGAGTACCAACTTGTGACTGGCTCCTAGGGCCACATGCCAAACATTGCATCTTCTTAATTTCTTTTTTAAATCACATTTACATCTTAATTCTTTTATTGCCTCATTTTTACAAGATGTAGAACTTGCTAAAAACGCTCACTATCGATTAACCCTAAGAAACTCAGTTCTCCTCAATGTAATCTTATACCAAGCTTATCGCATAATGCACTTCCCATGTAGAACAGAGAAAGTGACGATCGCATTGACCGAACGTTTCGAGAGCAATTAGAATAGCACGGGAACTGAATCCAAGGGCTATATGGATATATGCAACTGGGAAAAGTTGGCTCATGGATAGATTATCTTGTGCACGATGTCGAATTATTCTTAATTAACTTAATCTGCTGATCTACATATTTTTATTCGGGACATAGCTGAATCGACGGCGATCAATAGATTGGAAGCTTCTACTTGAAGCGTACACAAATTACACCATATATGATTGTTTTTTACATTGTCATTTATTTGATCATGAAGTGTAACTGGTGCGCAATACCTGTTCTAGTATTACGTGCGCAATATGTAGCTGATGGAATCAAGGTTTCCTTAAACTGCACTACAACAATCGAAAATCGTCTAGAGCTTCTGAACTCGTCTCTTTCGAGTCTTCATAACTGTACCGCCTGTTTTGCAACCCTTATAATTTAGAATAGTCATTGCAATTTAAACACTAATTACGATATATTTGCTCTTTTCTGATGTATAATAGTATATTAAAAAACTAGTTTCGTAAGACACACTTGAAATGCACGAATTCAAGTTTAATGAGCGCTTTAAGTCTTATGAAACGTGTTTTTTATACTATTTTTTGTCATTCGCGTTTTATTCTTTTTCTTTTTAACAAAAGTAAAATAAATTTTGACAATGTAGGGAAATAGGTATCTAGCAGTTGGTAACACCGTAACACGTAAAAATAGAAATTTAAATTGACAATTAGAAATTGTCAAAACACAAAATATATTCACCTGAAAAAAATATTTCATGTACACCTCCCGAAATAAAATAAATTGCTCAGAGTTCTACTAAAACATTACTTCCAAAGAAGTCTCACGAAAGGGACGAATTTAAAGCGTGGTTCAAATTGTCACATTGACAACTACAAAAATTAATGACCCAATATCACCAACTTGAACTGGTTCCATAAAATGTTACTAAAATCTCATTACAGCATCGGATGCTGTAAGGAGTCTCATTACAGCACCTGTTTGAGTAGTGTAATAGCTTTCATAACCGTCGCGAATTACAAAAAAAAATATGTACAAGAATACAAAATAATTTCTATTTTTTTAATTATTTATTTATGCTATTATACTTGCTAACGAATAGAATAACTTGAGGTCTTCACTATAAAAATCAGATAAAATCAATTATCACACCATAAATCGAATTTGTGTACTCAAATTCTTATAATTTCTTTATAATTTTCTTCTTAAGCTTGATCTTATCATCCTCTTCAAAAGGCTTACCATAAAAACTTATTTAGCATCTTGCGTTTTCCAAGATAAATAAGTATTGAATATCAAAGCGACAGATTGGACGAGAAGTACTTGATGTTTAAGCGGGACAAAATAAAAGTTAACCAATTGAACGAGCGGGAAAAGTTTGTAGTTTGTCATAAGGATATCGAAGTAATTTTTTTTTATACCAGCAATAGTATCATCTACTGTTTTTCCTTGAATCAATCCCAATGTGAATAAACACACTACCATTGAACATGGAGCAAAACAACATTGATCAAAAAATACTTTTTTTAATGCTGCTTTCGGATCTTTTGCTGATACCAATTTTGATAATACTGTGTACCAAATTATTGAAGAGGGGCCCTATAAAAAATATTCATTGGATTTAGAAAAAAGGTTGAAAGTAAATTAAAGCCCTTTATAATAAAACATTTATATAAACTATAACTAAATACATTTTTTTACTTTTCCACTATTTTTTCTGTTGACGAATGGGTTTTCATAGACAAATAAGTATTAAAAACTAATGCAACAAATTGAACAAGAAGAACTTGATGTTTTAACGGAACAAAATAAAAATTTATCAATTGTACAGCTGGAAATAACTTATAATTCGTTATTAACACATCTTTATAATTGTTTTTTATATCAGAAATTATCATTTCACTTTCATTCCCTTTAGCTAACCCTATAGCATATAATAACACCACTATAAAACTTGGTGCAAAAACACATTGATCCAACACAACTTTTTTAAGTGTCCCCCTAGTATTAGTTGATACAATTTTTCTAGCAAGAAATCTATACCAAGTACTTGTAGTTGGACCCTAAAAAAAATTATTGATTGTAAAACCATTATACAAAAAAAGGATATACTAGAAATTGTTAATTGTATATTAATTTAATTTAAAAACTGTTGCGCGCATTTACACATTTCAAAATAAAACAAGGGTTCATTAAAATTGTACTTACCACTAAAAAGAATCCAAGGCAAGCAAATTGTCTAGTTCGTCTCAAATCTATTTCATTAAAAGATCTTTTGTATATAACAGTTTGTGCTATAATATCACCTGCACTCATTAAAATCGCAGTTTGAATTGCTGGTCTAAGAAATGGCTTGATTTTACTTATAGCGGACATGATATAGGCTTATAATGTTAATCAATGACGCAAAAAGTAGATTAAATTATTTGTCACCGGTTAAGCTAATTAGTATGAATGTTAAACCCAAGAATTTGATATTAGTTGACGTAAATTAAAATTATGTTAAAGCACGTGGAATTTTGTAAGTTGACAGAAGTCAAAATAATTGTGAAGTTAGTTACTACTTTTGATAATAAAAATTTTTGCCTTTAAAATATTTACATATCAATCTGTTATAATTACTAATTATAATGTATAATTATTAGTGAAAACTTAAACATTAATTAACGCAAACCTAATTAAAAAGGAAGATGACTTAAGTACCCCATAACAATTGTGAACTTAGCTGCATTAAATGGATTAAATGTGAGGTTAAGGAACAACACACATGTAAGTTATAAATTTAAAAATAGTTAAATTTGCCATAACAACCGTGTATGATGTTATAAAAATTCAAAATATATCAATTCACTCATATCATCAATCTGAATGTCACATAAGTCTGTAAAATTTTCGTCCAAATTCTAAAATAAAAGCATGCAAGTTACTTGAAGGTTAAAAAAAAGATGTTTTCGGTTTTATTTCGTGCAATGGGCAGAACGATACGAAACTCTGGAAATAACTTACCATGTTTGAGAAATCTTCCAAATTACCGTATAGTTCTGTTAGGTGCAGCCACTGTTACCCTTGCTAACAACAGTAATGCTAATAATAAAGACAAGAAAAAATGCCATAAAGAATCTACGCCCATTCCGAAAGATATTAAAGCCGCCTGTAATAAAAACGATGAGTCCCTGAAGGAGTTAATGCATGTTTTGTCTGAATGTATAAAAGAAATTAGTAAAGAGTATCAAGCCAATCTTAAGAAGCAAATAGAAATCATCAACAATTGTACAAAAGTGGGTCCAATTGGTGAGCATTGGGATCAACTTACTCATTATAGGGTTGTTGCTAATGAGCTTCGACAGGAACTTACAAAATATGAAATCTTAGTGCAAAAAGTTGGTCAAATGGCTTATAACCAAGCAGTGACTTCTTTATTATCAGGGGTCGAAAACGCCATGGATCTTCTCGATGTGGATTTCAATTATTTAGAGAAAACTGTTAGTCAGTTATCTCGAGATAATTATCAATGGGAATCTAAATTATTGTACGCAAATAGAGATAGTATTTTACATCAAAAATGATGTAATAATTTTAAAGAATGTATAATGAATAGTAACTATTAAAAATTTCATCACTTATTTTTTGTTTTAATTGTTTTATTTTGTATTTTCTTTTTTAACAGAATGAGTACCCAAAAAGGAAATAACACACGTTCAAGGCCACAAAAACATCAAAATAAATCATCTTTCAAAAACTCCCTTCACGATACAAGTCATCGAACGAAATTCATCAACAACATTCAAGTCAGTGATGTTTGTACGAGATGTAAAGACGTAATTGAATGGAAAATTAAATACAAAAAATATAAACCACTTACTCAACCCAAAAAATGCGTCAAATGCGAACAAAAAACCGTTAGAAAAGCGTATCACGTAATGTGTAGGGATTGTGGAAAAAAGTTAAGTGTTTGCACGAAATGTTGTCAATCAAAAGAAATTATTCCAGCCCCTCCAGATCAGGAGGAACAATTAAAATTGGATAAAGAACTTCAAGTTCTTTTACAATCATTATCAGAAAGGAAACGAAGAACTTTTTTAAGATATATGAATAAAAAAGAAAAAGACTTGGGGGAGACTTCTGAACAGAAAAAGGATGATTTAGTTAAGAAATTAAACGAATTAAATGTTAAAGATGATTCTGAATTTGGAGATTTAGACGATGATGATGATTATAATGATGAAGAAGATATTAGCGATTAATTATAATAAATAAAATTAATTTTATATAAAAATCTGTCATTTAATTCCTGTCAATGTCAATACATAACCTAAAATTTTTCTTTAATTTGTAGTTTTTTAAGTAACAAAAATGAAATTTGTTACATGTTTTTTTTATGTATTATAACTCTAATTAGTTTAAATTCTCGAATAAATTATATATTTACATTAAAATAGCATTAAAATAATACCTTTAAAATTAAAAAGAACTTATATATGGAGTGAAGTTAGTTACGTTTATTTAAACGTCAAAACCTGCTGCTATTTCTAACCCTGGTTTCTATAGATTTTTTCGTTTCTAAAGATATTTGTTAACTAAATTCGTTTAAAAAATGAGTAATCAAAAAGATGATATGGCCATGGAAGTAGAGCCAACGCCGGAAACGTCAAAAAACGTAAGAATGGATGTTTCGGAGCCGGAAAAAAATGTTATGGCCCCCGGTACGACGGGGTCCGTAACTTGTTCTCTTCACCCTTTGGTAATTATGAACGTTTCTGAGCATTGGACCCGCGAAAGAGCACAAAACGCCTCCGTACAAAGAGGTAAACAAATTAAATTTTAATTTTCAAATTCTAACCTAAAATTTTTTTAGTTATTGGTGCCCTTATTGGAAAGCAGAAAGGAAGAAATATCGAAATTATGAATTCGTTTGAATTGGTTTTTAGTGTTATTGGTGAGGATGTTATCATAGACAGGGATTATTATAATATGAAGGAGGAACAATGTATAATTTTGAGATGAAATCTGCTTATTAGTATTTATTTGTTATTATTTTTAGTTAAACAAGTTTTTAGTGAAATGGATTTTATAGGATGGTATACAACTGGAGATTCTGTTAGTGCAACCGATATTAAAATTCATAAACAGATATGTGAAATTAACGAATCACCTGTTTTACTTAAATTAAACCCCTTCGATAAAAATATTGATGTAAGATAAAACATGAATTAATTCTTTTAATAATCAAATTAATATTTTAGCATTTACCTGTTAGTTTATACGAGTCAGTTATAGATTTGATAAATGGTGAGGCAACTATGTTATTTGTTTCACTTACTTACACATTAGCAACAGAAGAAGCTGAAAGAATTGGTGTCGATCACGTTGCTAGAATGTCATCAACAGATGCTGGAGAAAGCTCTTTAGTCGCCGAACACTTAACAGCACAACATAGCGCTATAAAAATGTTGTATTCTAGAGTACGTTTGGTTTTGGAATATATGAAAGCGGTTCAAAAGAAAGAATTTCCACCCAATCATGATATTTTAAGGGAAGCTTATTCTTTATGTCATCGTTTACCTGTTGTTCAAAGTCCAAGATTTAGACAAGATTTTTATAATGTATGTAATTTGATTAGGTACTGTTTTATACTGGGAATTTCATATAACTCACAATATATGCAAGTTATAAAACTATTATGCACTTGCACTGTCCCACATAAAATGCAACAGTTTTGCAAAGGAAAAGGTTTTTTTTATTCATATTATGCATAGCACAATAAAATTGTATAACACCTAGTAAATACATACTAATTAGTTACTTATTTTTGACACAAAATTAAACAAGATAATCTTTTGCAGCATTTCCTAGTGGCCCAGTCTGCTTTACACATAATATAGATAAATATTGTCATATTTTTACTGTTTTAAGATCAAAACACCAAAAAGGCGCGCACTGCGATACGCGGAACACTCATTTGCTCATCTCTATTGCTCATCTTCTGAAGGCGACCCAGGACATCATCGTTGTCGAGACGGATGGCCTCGATGTTCTGATGATCGTGCATTCTCTTTTCATGTTTAGATGCGAATGATGCAATTTCCAAGTCGTGATGGAGGTCGGTGTTTCTTATACACATTTTTTTAAATGGAACACCTGTATATTTTTACATATTTGAATTTGTCTGTTTTCAAGGTTTATAAATAACTTTACTTTTTGCAATTTGATTCGGTCGTTCTCGAGTTATTCGAATTTTTCTAGAAAAATCTGCTCCAGCAGACATTTGTTCAAAAAATCAGAGAACACTCGATTTTTGGGATATCAATTTAGGATTCAGAACATGCTTAAGCAACATGATGGAGTATGTTTTGGTGTCTAGAGCGGCTGTATAGAACGTTTGGTTATTTTACTATGGCACGTAAACTTTTCGAAATTTGGAAGTACCATAACTTAATTTTTTTAAATGGCACCCACTATATTTTATTACTTAGTCGTCTTCGGTGTCTCATTTTACATCTTTTATATCCCATATGTCCCATACCTAACATTAATAGTTTTGGAGATAATTAGGGTTTTTTGAAAAATGCGTAGTGTACCATGAAAAACAAGCCTTCTTAATGAGTTCTTGTCAAAGACTCACTTGTTTACGTTACTTGATGTATGTGAGCTAATAATTATCTGTTAAGTCCCTTAACAGATAGTCCCTTCTTCCGCTGCATTATCTACTAATTTTTTGGTCAGCTTAAGACGTGATTAATTCGTCCAAAATGCAAAAAATTTGCTTCTATTCTTCTAAATTTACCTTTTGTCATCAGAGGTAAATCTGGATAGTTTTCATTAAACATCCTGCAAGTTCTACTAAGAAATTTGTCGCACTTTCCGTGCACAAAAAAAATTAAGGATTTCTTCATTTGTATAAACATTATTTACGTTATTAATATCCATTTTAACTGGTTTTAGACTCACAAGCATCAAACAACATAAATCAGACTTTGACGTTTGTCAAGTCATTAAACATTTGTTTTCCATAGCACACTAGGTTAATATCGATATGATATGATTTTTCAAAAAACCCTAATTATTTCCCAAACTATTAATGTTAGGTATAGGACATATTGAGGATAAAAGATGTAAAATGAAACGTCGAAGACGACTAAGTAATAAAATATGGGGGATGCTATTTAAATAAATGAAGTTATGGTACTTTAAATTTCATCAGACATGCATTTGTCTTGCAGGTACAACCCCACAGTTGGATTCCGTATGTCCATTATGGTTTTAATACTTGCTTGTATATTAGCAACTTGTTTCTTAGTGATAACGTTGTTTTTTTGCCAATAAGCCAATATAGGTGTCTAAATTTGATATCAAGTTCCTAACGTATTTTTTGACGAGAGCTTTCCATTTGAGTTTGGCATCCAGCGTCATACCAAGATATTTTGTGGTGTCGGCATAAGGGACTGTATTACCATTTATGTGTACTGGGACATTGGTTACTTTCTTATAAGTAAAGTTTATGTACACTGTTGGAAATAATTCACGAGCACACCCTATATAATCTGAACGCGTGAAGATAAATCCATAATATTTTCGGAGCACAAAGGTTTACTGTAGACGAGTTTATTCAGCGAGTTTCGAGTTGTTCCGTTGTGCTTCCCTACGTCCGACCGCACATCGGGCGTGTTTTACAGACCTTTGTGCAAAAGCACCGTATACGAATGCCTCTATGGCCGGCTCGTTTTCCGGATCTGAATCCAATCGAACATGTTTGGGACATGACTGGTCGGAGACTTCAATGTTATCCGACTTCCCCGGCTAACGTTGAGGTGGCATAGTTGGCCATCCCTCTCGCTACAATACAGCGACTTATAGACTCCATGCCACGTCGTGTAGCGATGGTACGCGAAGCTCACGGCGGATACTCTCACTATTGATGTTTCTCCTCCCAGCAGAGTTGTGCCGCTGTCCATGTGAGAGTAAGTTACACTACTTTAGTACTACTTCCATACCCAATTTTATTGCGCTAGACACACGCGTTCAGATTATGCAGGGTGTGATCGTGAATTATTTTCAACAGTGTATTTCGAATTGGAGATGTATGTGTTTTTTTTGAACTTTAAGCTTTCTTGTTGCCTTCCACAGAGAATAATTAGTACTGGCATTGTCAGTAACGTCTTTTAAGTAATTTTGAATGTTATTTTGTTTATGGCTATCTGTTAATGCTCTTAATTCAGCTGTTATTTTATTTAATTTAGTTTTATCACTAGGAATTCTATTGGTTTGCCATTTCTTTCTTGATTTCCGTTTTTCTGCAATTTTGTCTCTAATGAATTTAGGATAAATATTAGATTTAGGTTGTGGTGTTAAAATAGGTCTTGAGGCCCAGGCTGCGTTTTGTATGTCTTTGAAGAACTTCTCTACTTACTCGTCAATGTCTTCGTTTGTTTTCATAAAAGCATTAAGATGAATTTTATTATCTAATGTTTGTGGAAATAGATTCCAATTAGTCAATTTATTAGTTAGTGATAAAAAGGGTTCTTTGTTGCATACTTTGTTATTTAGAGTAATAATTACTGGTTAGTGATCTGAGTCCAGCCCTAGCTCCTCTTCTATGTTTACGAAGTTAAGCGATATATTTTTCGATATATCAAGCAGGTCCGGAATTTTACTTCTATCTGTTGGCCAGTAAGTTGGCTTACCAGTGGAGAGCACCTCACAATTTAGGGCCTCTATTGCTTGTTTCAGTTCTCTTACTTTTGTGTTTGTTAAGCGAGAACCCCAAGACATATGTTTTGCATTAAAGTCTCTTCCAAGTATAAATTTGTTTTCTAGATATAGTAGAATTTTCTGATAATCTTCTCTTTTGAGATTATGTCTCGGCGGTTATATACAGATATTAAGACATTAGCACTACAGTTTACCACTACTTTACCACTACAGTTTGATGTTGTTCAGTACTAATTGTATTGTTCAAATAGTGGTCAATATTACCTTTAATGATAATTGCACTTCCACCTCGAGCCGCATTACTCGGTTTCTCTGATAAACTCCGAGTTTCTGTCTTATGACCCACAGCTAAACCCGACTGTTTCTGGTTCTAAGTCGAGTGTTAGTTCTACTTTTCGTTCAATAAAAATATACCACAATCTAACGCTGAATAACAATTATAACTAGAACTAACACTAGACATAGAACTAGAAATATTTGGATTTAGCCGCACGTCTTTCAAGACGGCTAAACCCGGATGATTCTAGTTCTAAGTCTTGTATTAGTTCTACTGATAGTGCTAGTGTAAAACTAGAACTAACACTAGACCTAGATCTAGAAACATTCGAATTTAGCCGCATTTCTCTCAAGATGGCTAAACCTGAATGATTCAAGTTCTAGGTCTTGTGTTAGTTCTAGTGATAGTGCTAGTGTAAGACGAGAACTAACACTAGACCTAGATCTAGAAACATTCGGATTTAGCCGCACGTCCCTTAAGACGGCTAAACCCGAATGATTCTAGTTCTAGGTCTTGTGTTAGTTCTAGTGCCAGCGCAAGTGTAAAACTAGACCTAGAACTAGAAATATTCGGGATTAGCCGTGCGTCCCGATACTTTCTAGTTCTAGGTCTAGTGCTAGTTCTAGTTTAATGAAAATATGCTATAATAGTGATATTTTATGCTAACTGACCCTACCTACCAGCCGTCTTAAAAGAGGGACGGCTAAACGGAATGTTTCCAGGGCTAGTGTTAGTCTAATTTCATTTGTTATTCAGCGCTAGATTGTTGTATATTTTTATGGAACTGTAACTCCCCGTATTGACATGTATTATATATTATATTAACATGTTGCATTTTATGTGAGACAAAGAAAGTAAGTACGCCCTGGTTTCTATGGAAATATATTTTTGTATATTGCATTTTAAGTGAAATTCACTGTATGCAGTGCCTAACATATTAATATGAATATTAATTAATTCTGCTTTATCAAATAGGCCCTTAATATATTTGAATTATTTTTATGCATTTCTCTTTTAGCAATGTAATGATGTTGGTTTAATGACATATTTGGGAACATTAACAAAAGGATGTAATGATTTGAATCAATTTGTGAATAAATTTAATATACTTTATGATCGACAAGGTATGGGAAGAAGAATGAGAGGAATCTTCTTTTAACTCATAAGAAATTTTTGTAATTAAATGCTTTCAATGAAGATTTTTAGCTTTAGATCTTATTTCTATTTAATTTTTCCCCCGAAATAAAAACGACATTCCAACTTCAAAGTATATTTCAAAAAGTAACAATTTGGCATCCATACAGACCGTATACGTTATTTTTTTGTATGTACACATCATCTAAAAATATGATGTATATAAATTAGACTAAATTACGCTTCTTTCTAATATTGTGTTTATAATTCGGGATGTGTCACGATTTTAAATCAAATTGTAAGGTTTATAATGATTTATTATAAATTTTAGAATTTGACGATACCGATTAGTTCTTCAAAAAGTGTAGCGGCGTCATTTTTTCCGTGTAAAACTTGGGAAGAGTACCTCAATGTAGCTTGAGCGAGATCTTTAACCGTCCATTTTCTGTCTCTTATCAATCGATAAATTGTATCTAAGGAAGCCAATTCTGTATGACCAGACGTATAATAAATCAATGATGGAACTCCAGCAACACTCGCCGCTAACCATTGAATAATCACTTTTAATTGAACTTCTCCTTTTTTTGATGATCCACAACCCCAATTTCCTGTTGATATGGGTTTTAAACCATTCGATGGTTTTTGAGCAATTTGTGATAACTAGTAACAAAAAGAAAATAATGAGTCAAAAATTTAATAATTTTTTTGAAACATCAATGATATTTAATCTTTCAAGATTAGTACTGTTACATTTTATTTAATGGTGATTAAATTTAGTATGTGTTAATACGATTAGTTTGAAATGTAACAAAAAAAATGGGATTTGGTCACAACTTTTTACCTGAACGTTCGCCTCTTGAGATATCGATACTTTAACACAGATATCTTCAAGTGTCTGAACGACCTGCGTTATGTAACTCATAGCCCATTTTTTCCGTTTTGTTTTCGCTTTTAACTTAGGCAGGCTAATTTTTGTTACTTCTACTTTATCTACAGGGCAGAGCAGGCGTTCAGCTTTTTCTTTCTATCAGAAAACATTTACTTTTGACACACACTAACAAGAAATGATCGGATTGTTTTTCATTGTTTTAATTTTTTAATGTAATGCTTAAAACGAATATATTTTATTAATTGAATGTAATACTTACTAGCTGAGCTGCTAGTCGATGTTTTTGTTTCGCCAATTCCAAACTAAGCGATTTGGCGTTTAAGATAAGTTTATTTTTCTTTGTACTGAAATCTGTTGATATGAGCCCAAGACTTTCACAACCATCGGGAAAAGGCACGCCGGCGAACGATTCGCTTAATGTACGTTTTAAAAGTGAACCGGCAAATTGTACAACCGCTAAATCCCTTCCTTCCAATTCTTTTTTCGTTCCTTTATCAGTTTCGATTATTGGATCTTCTAACCATTTTGAAAATTGTTCATAAACTTCTTCTAATTCCGAACTATAACGTACATTTTATTAAGTCATTTTATTGACGCACAGAATTGATGATTTAGAACAAATATATACTATATTTTTTTTTTAATTCACACTTAAGACTAATTTATTTTATTTTTTCAATCTGTGTTAGAAAATACTTGCCTGAATTATTTAAATTATGAAAATACGTTTTGGGCGCAGTAAAATAAATATAATTAACTTTTACAATCAGGTAAAATGCAAAGTTTTGTTATTGGTCCGGTTAAGTTGAAAGAAAATTGTGGTATAGAATGAAATACTTCGATTTCATCTTTGATCAAAACTAAAAGGCTCTCCTGAGGTAGGTTACATGACAAAAGATGAGATAATATATTTTCAATTTTAGCCATGACGAATCGTTTATCTAATGACTTATTAAAGAAGAATTCACAGACTTAATAATTAAACACTTCCAGTTGGACCTATCATAACTCAGATTATGCCATAAATTCTTCTATTGACTGGAAGGTGCAGAAAATGTTGCGTTGTGCCCACAGTCCGTTCAAATTAAATCAGTTATAAGCAACTAAAGGTAAAGGCGATTAATCCAGCAATTGCGTAATCCATTAAAATTTCCAGATGAGTTACTTATATAAACTAAAATAATAAAAGGTATTGAATGTTTTTTATCTCATTCGAAATTGGCGAAGTCTTGCAACCAGGTGGATTAAACACCACTTTGAATTTAATAACTAGTTTTACTATGAAAAACCAATCTAATTCTTTTTGAGCCAGAACACCAAAGCAGGAATGACGTCAGTTGGTGATAAGACAGTTAAAGCAGCTTGTTAAATGATCAATATTTGTATTTCAGGATCCATCTTTCTTCGATTGCATCGAGATGATCATCAATTAAAAAAAAACCACGCGGAAATATGTTTCAGTAATATGAACAAATTTAGAGTCAGAGCAGAGACCCGTTACACGGAGAGAGGGAGAATAGGACCTGATTTTTACGAAGTGCAAGACAAGAGGCTGATATCTCGATTTCAGGAAAGTTGTAGAGAGCAAATGAAAGAGGTGAGATTGTGTTTGATTTTTTCTTGTTGCTCTCCAATCGATTTAAACTATTTTGACATCAACCAACAAGCTTTTTTTACTTCTGGGTTTTTTGAAACACTTTCAAAAATGATCCAAATTTTTTTTTTTAATTCTTTTAGTCTGCTTAGTTATCTTAAAGATGATTGTAATTGATTAGAATACTGTAGATGAGTATGTATGAGCTTTTGCCATATTCTAAAGTTTTTTAAATATCCTTGCTTTTTTCCAGTAACTTGAAGATACAATATATACATACACTCACAATAGTTACAAAAAAGGTCAAAATCATCTTTTTAATGTTCTTTCATTCCCCTTAATTACCCTAGGGATGTTTTTAATTAATTAGAATAATTTTGAATGACACCATTGAGCTTTTTTCATATTCTAAAGTCTCCTAATTTTCTGGAAACATTCCTATTACTGTCATTAACTTGTGTTACTTCCATCAAATAACTGGCAGGTGTTTCCAGTCGATTTAAACCATTTTGACACTCACCAATAAGTTTTTTCTATTTCCTAGTATTTTTCAAACTCTTCCAAAAAAGGTCAAAATCTTTTTTTATTCTTTCATCCTTCTTAATTACTTTAGGATTTATTGTAATTAAGTTATTTTTTATAATTGTATGAAATAATAGTTTCGGGAAGTAATCGCTGGGATTCAATTCCGATTTAGACGATATTGCTGCAGTAGTTCATTTTGATCTCGTTTTGGTTACATATATTTGTAGATTGAATAGCCTTTCCCAATTTTGCCTTCCTCATACTGTATCAACCTTTGCAATAAAGGGTGTTTCCACCATCGCAAATTTCCCTGCTATCAACCGCAACTGCTTGTTTCAATTCACAGAGTGAAATGATTTCAGCCGATTTCATATCGGATTGAATTGGTGCGGGAGTGTTTTCAGCTGTATTATCCTGGATGGGCTGTTATTGCAAATGCCATAGTTTTCTTGGGGTAAATCAGTAAAATTTGGTTCAAAAAGTTTTAAAACTATGTATGTAGTGTCTGATGTATTATCAAGTCGTTTGGAATAGATTTCAAAAATTTGAATTTTGAATTAATATTAATTCCAAGAATTCGCGGAATTCTGCAGCAGTACGACGAAGGAATAGATTGAGGTTGATTAGACTTAGACTAGCATATACTGTGGATTTTAACAATGATTGACTTGAGCTAATCTTAATGATTTTTCTTGATAAGAAATAGAGGGATTGACATTTGAAATTAATTAATTTATCCAAGAATAGCTTCTTTCAAGGTAAATGGGTTGTATAGTTATTGTGCTTAAATGAGAATCTGAAAGGATATGTAGAGAGCCAATCCACAAAAGAAGTGCTTTAAAATTTGCAATGAAGCGTTTTGAGACATTACAACACGACATCACGACCAATAAAATACTTTTATAGCTTTAAAAATAGAGGAACCATGATCTACCTATAAAACACTTGCTTTCTGAATTTTGCTGAAAAGTTTATGTTCTCATTTTCTGATAATGGAACATTGGCACCATCATTATTGTCATTTATCATATAATTCAACACAATTTATGTATATTTCGTCGAATATAGGCAGGTGGATTTGCGAAAGAAAAAAATTTCCATAATTTTGAACTGGTGCAATAGAAAAGGGTGCACTTCATGGAAGTTCAAAAAAGCTGTATTTAGTTTAATAATTTGCCTTTTACACCTAACTAAGCTTCCTAAGATATCGCAAAAATATTATGGATAATAAGATATCCATAATATTGATAATTAAGATTGTGCTATATACAATTGTTGATGAGGAAAAATGTTTGTTTTTTTATATTACTGATGCTTCATAAAATAGTAATATTTGTTCTAAACCACTCTATAAAGTTATTAAAATTATTTACCTATAATCTGTACTAAAACTATAATCTGATGATTTACTCGATTCTTTTCTAATAATATTCGATTGTTTCGTTTTAAATTTATCTATCCATTCTTTTTCTTGTTGAAGAGAATCATCTAAAAACATTTCGTCTAACGAATCTTCCCTGAGAATAAATCCTGTCGATCCAGCTCTTCTAACTCTAAAAGAAAAATTAAAGAAATCACCCAAATTAAGAAATGTATAAAAATTTTACTTGATATCTTTATCTCTTACACCCGATCCACCAACTGTAATATCAAGAGCATAATTTGATGATGATTCCGTTGACATCGACGCAGCAGAAGATGATTCTCTATTTAAAGCATCTTTTAGTCGTTGCGCGAATGTCGTTCGTTTTTCCGCAGTTTCCAAATCAAAACTATACCTTTTATTAAATTCATCATCTTCGCTACCTTCATCTAAGCTGGTTTTTGCGCTGTGGAATTCTTCCTCGCTTGATTCAATACTAGAATGAGGACTCGTTTTAAATTCGGGTCCTCTTTTCACAGGAAGACATTCTCCAGACGATCCTAAAACGATAAATCGTCCTCTACGATTATTAAGCATCCCTTCTTGTTGTTGATATCCCTTTGATAACCCTCCTTTTTCTTTTTCAATTTTCACTCTAAGCGTATTTGATACGTTATTATTGTCATTAAATGAGGATGTTGAATCACTTCGATGAGTACTACAAGAATCTTGGGTTATTATTGGTAAAAGTTTATCTGAGTGAGATGATCCAATGGATTCTCCAATGGGAGATAATCTTCGATTTCGATGGCTTTGAGGTTGTGATGGTGGAATAATTGGTTCGCTATGTGGTTGTTTTTGTTGAAACGCTAAGAGGCATTTATTTAATTCCCTGAGGACGTTATCTTCTTCATATTGACCTAATGGAAGTTTAGAATAATCTTCAGCGTCAACACAACAAATTGTTTTCTGGAATAAAATTAATTTTAATTTAGATATTTAATTTTTTTATTATTTACCTTGATGGGTGTCTCAATTGTTTCAAAACAAGCTTTATTTTTAGGATCTGCGATACGTGATAATTGTCGTGCTCCTTCTATTCGAATCATTTCGTTATCTTCTAAAGCTTCGACGTTTAATAATGTACATAAAATATCGGCGAATGTAAAAAACGTTGTACATTCCTAAAAATAAATTGTTAAATATTTATATTAATCAATAAATTATTAGGTCGTAAAGTTTTTAACCTGAGAATTACCACTTCCTAAAGAATCGCCACCGATTTTTGAGCTTGCAAAGCAAATATGAACCGTGTCGAAATTATTTCTTTCTAATTTTCCTTCGTGTTTAATTAGTAAAGGACAAAGCGGAAGTATGCATTCTAACCAATCTTCGATTGTTAACCATTCTTTACTAGACATCACCTGAAAGGTAGAGATTAATGCATTCAGCAACAAACAAAAATGTTGTTTTACTTGTCTTAATATTTGTAGGGTACCGATATCTTCGTTATCGTTGATGTAATCGAAATAATGTAAAATACATTTTAATTTTGCCTTTTGGGAATTATTGCTTAAGTGTTTAAAAAAATCGCAGAAATTAAAATTTTGGAGTGTAGGGTGACTTTTGTCGGTTCTTCTTGGAAACGTTGAAAAGAAAGCGTTTGCTAACAAAGCAGATACAAAATTATAATCTAATTCCATACAATCAGCTAAAAAAAAAGAAAAGAATAATTATTTTTTTTTAATTTAAGATATAAATTTTAGTTTTTACGTTGTTGTTGTAAACTAAAATGTAATCCGTTTTTAGGCCTTAAATTCTTGAGATTTAACGCATGTTTTACTATACTCGGAAATGTTTTGTTTAAAAAATTACTGCGCTCTTCACTTGATAAGTCATTGTCTAAAAAATTTAGTAAAGCTATAAATTGTTCCGGATCTGGAACGTCTTTATCTGGATCTAAACTAACACTGAAAAGAAAGGCTTTTTTAATAATTTCGAAGATTTTGGTAAAATTATAATTTTTACTTGCATAGGTCATGAATCGCTTGCATCCCTTCTATTAATTCTATTGTATTTTTAGTCGAAGAAAGTCTTGTTAAAATATTTTGAATCGAATGCCACCATGGCATATCACTTGGTAACATCACCAAAGCCATTTTTTATTTTTGCATTTTGACATTACTGAAAAAAAATCAATATAAATTAGCAGGTCATTTTTAAACTAACAAATATTACATGAAAATGATGATTAAAAAAATGGAGTCTAATTTTCTTAAAAGTTGCAAAGGTATTAATTCAAAAGTTACTTCTATTCTAGTAGAAATTATTAAAAACAATTTTAGCACGGATGGTTCAATAATCTTCAATTGCTTCAAAACTCTTTACAAACTTGTATTGTAAAATTAATGTATTAAGTTTTGGTTGGATTAAGTGGTGCACCATTTTTACTAATTTTTAACGTTATTAACATTATTGCAGTTTTAGCAGCTCCATAAGCGATTTAAAGATTCCTGGCACACGAAATGTTTATACCTGTAATAAGCTGGTTAAAAATGAACTATTTTAGCAATAGCAGAAGAAATATGCAACATACAAAAAGAATTTTAGCTTTTGACATCCAATGGACATGGGACCTAAAATGTTTCATTTAATCACATTTATCGTGTTAGGGTGTAACATTTAGCACTTAGCGTGTAAGATCACACTAAGTAACAAGTTTTAGCAAGTTGGATGATTAAGAAATAACTTAATGTAAAAAAAAGTAAAAAATAAGCACCTAAAATATGCTACTGGATATATAATTTATTTTGAATATTTGAGCTGATGGAAATGGGCATCAAAAATCAGTTTTATTAGCGAACAAGGCATGAAAACCTTGTCATAAAAATATTAACAAATTTATACAAAAAGCAGCTAGGAAGAACACATAGGAAGTTAGAAAGCAACATTGGGAATGAAAAAAAAAAAACGAATTGAATAACGGCCAGACCAGAAAACTGAAAGATGATCGGTTTCAACATGTTCTATAGTTGATTCCAACTTTCTGTCAACATTGGGAATAACGGCCAGACCAGAAAACTGAAAGATGATCAGATTCAACATGCTCTATAGTTGATTTCAACTTTCTGTTAAGACCAGCTATGTCAAAAGATTGTGGAAGGCACACAAATCTTCTTTTCCTGTATTGTCTTGTATACTCTACCCACTAAATTATGACACTCCAGTGTCAGCATGCGTATAGTGGATTTATAGTGGACATTATCAATTACAGATATATCAAACTAGAATCTTCTCAATGTTCGTTAGAACAAACGACGTTAGAATGTATCTATCGTACATATCAAAGAAAATATTGGAATTTGGTGTTTAGATTCTCAGAATAACACCAGGTGATTCCAGCTCGCTGTTGTGTCAGATTAAGAAAGTCTCTAATAGCCACTTTACAGTAAGTAATTTTTTTTTGTACGCAAGGTATCTTGCACGAAGTTATTGCGGCAATATCTAGCGCGATTGTCTTTACATTTGGCAACTTTTAACTGCAATATTTCAGTTGCAATCAATGCTGCCAACACATATTTTTTGAAAGATTGAGGCACACGTACACAAAAAGTAACTAAAAAACTTACAATACTTTCAGCGGAAGTGCAACAAATATATGTTCAAACCTATTATCTACAAGTGCAAGAATACCAAAAAGAATGCGTCATTTGCGCATGCGTGCAAGATAAACTATCAATATTTCTTGCCGGCAATGAAACTTGCGAACTGTAAAGTGGCCTTAACCCATTTAGTCCCACTGGTGTGAAAACGCGCCAGTCTTTTTAAAATTATTTTACAGCCGTATATTTCTAGTTTTGAAGGTGCTAGCTGTTTGTACGATAACTCTATAAGGTTGATAGGCTATACATATCAATATATTTCATAATTCTTGCTTTAAACCGTATTTGCATCAATTCTTTTCTATTGACAATTTCTGTTCAAAATATACAATGGAAATAAAACTATTTTTAGTGCATAAAATTCTTTAAAACTTTGACATTTGCAAGTTTTCAGTGCATACTTTCCTGATATATATCTTGAAACGCGAAATAAAAATATGAATTCTGAAAATACGACTTGAAACATTAATGGTGCAAAAACACACCATCGGGTTGTATGATGATGATAAGGACTACATCATCTTTCGTATTATCAGAAAACAGTATAGACGCATTTATTCGGTGATTTCCCTAGAAATAGTCGTTTATGGATATAGTGCGTCAATATATGTGTAGTAAGTTTAGCGTTCATTTACATGAAGAGTGATTTGCGAAGTATCAAAATAAATGAAATTATAGTGTTTATCCCATTAGTGCGTTTTTGCACCAATTTTAGTTTAAATATTTTTTAGATTAAACTTCATACTTATACAAAATCCTTCTTCCGGGCTCTGGTAGTTGTAATTATAGCTCTAGAAACAGATCACATTAATTGTTCCAGAAGTCGTTGTTGCATCCCATATTTCTATAGTTTCCATTTTGTTATAATTTCTATTGACCCTGTCCAGATTCTGATCACTACCTCTGATTTTCATAAGCATATTCCGAATCTACCACGGGTTTTCTTCAAGAGACTTTGAAATCTGGTGATGCTGCTCTTTGCAGGCAGTGCATTCTGTCTGTGTTCATTTTTCAGTTTAAATGAACTTGTTATTTTGTTCCACAATTCTCAATAGTTTCCATTTTGCTGTAATCTTAACTAACGTTGTTCCAGCTCTACGTACTGCCAAAGTTATTCTTTAGTAAATACTGAATTACGTTTCTGATTCTAGTTCTAGATTCTACATACTGGCTTTGTTTTCTTTTTCGTTTTTCCAATGATTACTATTGCATTTGCGGATACTACTGTTCATTCTGTTCAGATTCTGCATTTTTTGTCTATTACCCGTTACTACATTCTGTCTCCTACATTTGTTTCTCTGCAGCACATAAATCTTGATGCCAGAACGCCTTACGTTCTTTTCTTTAAAAATTTTTTTGCCCCTTCAAGTTTTTGAATGTAGATTTTGAGCTTTTTCTGTCAGAAAAAATCGATTTTAAATTAAATATTTTCAGAAAGCTAGAAAACCTACTGTAAGAAAAAATTTAAAAAAACAGTAAGTCTTCTGCACCCAATAATTTGCAGGCCGGGTGCTGAAGTACGAAGGTTCATATCGGTGTAAACTAGTAAACTACTTCCAGAAGAATGGAATAATATACCCATATTCGACTTTATATGCTAATATTTAAAGTTAACTCCATACGTAGAGCACCAAAATGGCTCTTATCTAAGCAGACTTAAACTAGAATTTCGAATATTTATAACAACGCACCGTCTCGTTATAGAATTTGGGACGCCATAAGGCAACTAAATACACCTAAGTAGGTCATAAGAAGCAGCTATAATTTTATTTTATCTATCAATGAGGGCATAGCCATATTGGGCTGAAATTTATTCCAAGTGTTCCTTACTTTTAACTATGGAATTCGATATCGTTTACATGACCGCAAGCACGATTGCAACGAAAGATTCTTTGCACCCTATTTAGTACCACTCTTTCACACATATCAGCCGGTGCGTTGGAAATTTCGCGTTTAATATTGTTCCTAAGCTTCTCTAACGTTGTTGGTTAACGTTAACAAGTTAACATATCCCATAAAGAAAACTTCTTCTTCAATATATCAATTGTTTAACCAGCTGTGTAGTATATGATACCATCTTGTTGGCCTATATATCACTGATGTCAAGTCCATACATCTTTTGGCCAAAAATAGTCTTCCAACATGCCATGATAGCGAAGTACATTGACCGTAACATGACAATCGTTTGCATCGACGAAAAATATGGTCCAATCGTACCTCCAGCATAAAATCTACACCACACGGTTTTTTTTTGTGGGTGTAAGGGAGTCTCTTAAAGCACATGTTGGTTTGTTGCTGTCCAATAATGCATCTTCTGCTTATTGACAAAGCCATTAAGCCAAAAAAGAGTTTCATCACTGAAGATGACATTAAGAATGTTCTTCAAAGTGTAGCAGATCGTAATCTGAGAAGATCCAGTGCTTCAAATGGTCATAAGTCTCAGTTCTTGAGATAATTACATTTTGTAGTATAGCTAGTCTGGTGAAACGAGTATTACAAAGATCAGTGTAAATTATTGTAAGTACTGGCCTATGCGGATGACATAGAAGAGATCGTAAAGTCTAAAAGAGAGGTGGTGAAGGATTTTCTGGCTGGAGATGGCAGTACAAGCATGATTACTATTATGTATATAAAGGACCAATAACAACCCAACTCATAAAGACAATGAGGTGAAGTTGGCTAAGAAAAGAGGGCTGCACGAGGTGCAAGATGATGTGAGAAGATTGAATGCAAGAAATGCTATGGAAATCCGCGGTCCACATTAGTTTATATATTCTAGAATTAACATTAATTAGACCTTCTTGTTATATCGATAACATAATGCGAGGTTACGACAATTTAAGATCAATCTCATATTATTTACGTATTATACTACTCGAACTTTGGCCTACTCAACTTTCCCTTATCTTTATATACTATTTTTTCATCATTCTGTTTATCATCATTATGAAAGGTTATACAAGACTGACACAATACCATAACTGATTAATTTGTATCAATTGAAAGGGCTATATGTATGAGAAAACTAGGTGTGTTGTCAGATTAAATAGCACTTCCGGTTAAGCCATTTGATTGAAATTTTACATCTGAATGTTTTTCATAATTACACTAAATTTCGTCACCTCAACTAATTGAGTTTTTGACTCACAGACATAATGCTAAAAATAGTTGAAGATTCAGGGATTTTTAAACGTATACATTCAAAAAAATCTTGATGACGAATTTTTGCACGATTACATTTGTATATGTAAGAAAGCCATTTAAACGAAAGCCTATATTATGACTAACTTCATATCTTTTTAAGATATTTTCTTGTTTAAACGAGGAAATAATTTATAATCAAAATTGCTATATTACACTTAGTTATTTAAGTATTAAGGGTTAAGCCTTGAGGGTAAATAAATATTCAAAAATTCACGCGTATCATATCACTCGTGCATCTTTATAAAGTTTCAAACCAGTTATTATATAAATATTTTTGATTAAGAAACGTTATCAAAGCAAACTTTAGGTTGTTATTTATTTGTATAATGTTCTACAATATTAAACGAAAATCTCTAAAGACTCGATATTTATTAATTTGGATTAAAAAATGCTATTTCACACAAAGTTGTTTTGTTAGAAATTTTCTTAATTTGTATAAATTGAATGAATTTGATATTCATACAAGTGGTCCACGCGATCTCACGACGCAAAATCCAACTGAAAAGGTAGGCGTAGTTCTTATCGATTGCATCTCGCTCACCGAATCAAAAAAATCTACCTCCTTTGCCTCATTCAAATCGTTTTCTCCATGAAAAAAAATCGTTAACTCACCCTTATTTAAATTTAGGATAAAAAAATATTTAGCACAATTTTTTTCACTAGTTCTCGAACAAACACGGGCTCTTCCACTAAATATATAACGTAGTTTATTTTTGGATGTACAATCGGCGATGCCGGCACTATATCCACAACGCAACACCGGATGTATTTTTATTTCGCGTTTTAGCCGCCGATTTGCACGTGTCCATTGTGTGTTGTTTCACTCTTCGGTTTCCTTTTACTACTACTACTAGAGTAGCTGGTGGTAGTACGGCAAAATTTGTTGACTGAGGGATCGTCGCAGGCGCTCTCTCCTTTCCCCGTTTTTCTCTACAGGGAATGGGAGAGCTCCAGACGTTTGAGCTGACGCTATAAATATAGTGTAGAATGTCGAGCTCAGCATTCTTTGAGTGGTTGAAACTGCGCCCTGACTGGTTTTGTTTTAAAAAGGTATAGAAAAGGTTTCATTTTGATGGTAATCCGAAGAGATTATAGATTATCGGCGAGGTTTTATCGATTTTCTATATTATTTGATAATAACAAAAAATTTTAATCAAAATACACTAAAATCTCGATTAATACGGGGAAGGAAAAGTTTTTAATTTGCACTTTAAGCTGTTTGAATTCATAATTTTAATACACACAAATTCGATCAGCTATTCACACCGTTGCGTTCTATATTAGTCAGTTCTACTTTTAGTTCAATAAAAATATATACAACAATTTAGCACTGAATAACAATTAAAAGTAGAACTAAAAGCGTCTGAAGACGCACGGCTAAACCCGAAACTTTCTAGTTCTATTCTCATAAATGTATTAATTTATTTATTTATGAATGGGTAGCTAATTAACACAAAATTACAGCAGCTATTCAAAATGAGAACCGCATTTTCTCAACATGCAGCTATCCTTCGTGTCATAGAATATTGCCAGTTAATTACTGCCAATTCATTCTTTATAGAATTAGTAGCTTCAACTATTCGCGTGTATCTGATAAATCTGATTTACGATTACTGCTGTACACACGAGATTTGAAGCAACCCCACAGAAAAAAAATCTAGAGGCGACAAGTCAGGTGACCGAGCTGGCCAATGTACAGGACCACCTCGTCCTATCCACCTTTCCGGAAAATGTTCATTAAGAAATACCGTCACTTGTCTCCCAAAATGTGGTGGTGCCCCATGTTACTGGAACCACAAGCCACGACGAGCTTCTAAAGAAATACCTTCCATGTAATTCGGCAATTCTTCTTCCAGAAAGTGAAGGTAAGTTTCTGCACTTTCAAAAAAATGAGGCACAATAAGATGATTATTTAACAAGCAAGTTTAACAACGATTATTTCGTGTGGGTTTTGATCCATCCAGATGTGAGAATTACGTGTGTTGTTAATACCATTCCTTGTAAACTGGGCCTCATCCGTAAAAAGTATGTATGAAATAACTTCTAAATTATTTTGTAACCACTGGCAATACTGTATTCGATTTTCTAAATCTTGAGGAAGTAAGTGCTGGACTTTTTGTAAATGATAAAGGCCATCATAGTGCAGAATTCTCCTTACATTGGTTTGAGGGATTCCTGTTGTATCAGATGGTATGAGATTCTACGAATACTGGTAGAAGGACTTCGTTCAACTGCATTTAAAACTGCTTGAGCGTGCCAATTTCCATCTCTTTCTGCAGGGTACGACGCGGGTCTCGTTTCTCTCAAGCAACGAAAAACGTTTGAAAATGTTATGTGGTGAGGCACAATGCAATCAGGGTATCGCCTGAGGTACTCCGTTGCTGCAGCACGTCCACTTCCATTGCAAAAACCATATACGAAAACCATATTCTGCATTAGTAAAATGCGACATAAAGGCTTAAATTAATAAGACAGTTACAAAAATCATTAATTTGTCAAACGTTAAATCGCCAAGACTAACTTAACTTTTTTATTCCTTCAATATCTCCGAAATAAGGAGGAATTCACCTGTAGGTGATATACCATTTTTTGATCGTATGACCCCCGGAATGTATGGTATAAGTTTGTCGGTCGAGTCACGGAACACCCTGTATAAAATCTCTTGGTGCAGTTTCATCTAGTTTTCTTCTCTTCGCTTGTAATTCATCATCACCTTCATTACTAACAGAACTCTCGCTGTTATCACTTTCGATTATTAATTAAAGTATCCTCTTTTTAACGCAAAAAGCTAATTTGAGAAATCACTTTTAGTTCTTGAGAAATAAATTTTTGAAATGATCGATAATTTTTTCGAATTTTTGCCGATTAAGTTTTAAAAATTCTTATAAAATCCATTTCTTGGAATATGAGTGTGAAAATTTCCCAAAGTGTTAATAAAAGTGTCTTCTTTCCAATGAACCAACCCATTTTGAAAAATGGCTTTTAGTTTTTGAGAAAACAATATTAGAAGTTTTGACAAAATTTTCGATGTTGCAATTTTCATCGATAACTTTCAAAATTTGCTATAAAATTAATTTCTTGAAGGATCCTTGTGGAAATATCACCAATTATGAATTAAAGTATCCTCTTTTTAATGCAAAAAGCCGTTTT